GTGGAAAGAGTCATGTCTATGGGTAACAGGGGAGTGAGCTTAATTTTAGCTCCTGCAAACATGGGGGGGAATATTTGATTAAGGAGATAATCTGTCACCTTCTAGAAAGAGAAGTAGTTATCACTGAAAGGCCACTTGGCTTCATCAGTCATTCATTAGTCCAGAAGTATTTATTCAATGCCTATGACCGTATGTGCTGGCGATACAGATACTAAGGGGAGGCAGCCGCTGCCCTCAGGGAGCCTACATCTGACTGACCATAAACAAAGTAATTGGAAGTAGGAGGCCAGGTCTAGAGCTGGCAGGGAACTGAGCAGCCATCACTGCGTACATATGCAGTGTAGTCGTGGTGACACGCAACTGAGGGAGGCAAAAAATGCCTCTGGAAAGAGGTGGCCTTGGAGCTAAGCCTTGAAGGGAACTAGGGACTAAACAGTAAGTGAGAGGTGAGAAGGTCATGCATTCCTGGCATGGGGGACTGCTTGTGCAAAGGCACGGGGAGGGGAGCTGGGGTATGGTGTTTGAGGAACAGTTGGGAAGCCTGCTTGGAGGAAGCGCAGGGCTAGGAGCAGGGCAGCCTGGGAACAGAGGCTAAAGCCAGACTGAAAGGCAGGAACAGCAGATGTGAGGAGGGGACCCAAAGGAGAGCTGGTAGAGGAAGGGAGAATGGGGTTAGGGTTAACCCTTTCTACTGTCCTATCTGCACAAAAGACCTGAGTTCTAGCTTTGCCTCTGGCTCACTAAGGCCCTGGACAAGTCCCTTCCTCTCTCTGGTCCTCAGTTTCCACTGCTGTAAAATGAGAAAGTAGACTTAATTACCTCTAAGAACCTTTCCAGTTTTGGCTTATAATTCTGTAATCTATGATTATCTCCTCTACCCCACCTCACAGTGCAGACCACCAAGAGCTAGTATGAAGTCATGCCAGACTCACCCATTTCCTTTTCTTTGGGGATACAGTCAGTTGCTAAACTGGTAGACCGATGTAGACTGTAGATAATTTGTTGCGACTTTAGAAAAGGATCTGACAGAGACTCATGCTATCCTTGTGGCCAAGATGGAGAGACATGGACTGGAAAGAGAAAAATTAGGTGGACACAGGAATGGTCGGATTTCTGGACCAAAAGAACAGTCCACTGCCCAGGGTTTGATGTGACCTTTGAAGGTGTCCCCTAGTGGATGGTCCTTGGTCCTATGGAGTCTGACATTTTTATCAGAGCTAAAAAACTGATGGAAACGACACATTTGTCACACTTGTGCCTGACATGCCTGAGGCTGGATTTGAGCTCAGTAAAATGAGTCTTCCTGACTCCAGGGCCAGCACGCTACCCACTGCACCACCCAGCTGCCCCCATGGTTTGCTAGGGTGGGCTATTTCTCCAATGAGCCTGGCTATTGCCAGGAGGCATAGATGAAATGCCGAACGGAGGGTCAGAATGCAGAGCTTTGGGCTAAATCTAATGTCATGAAATTTACTAGGGGTAAACACAAATTCTTACACTTGGGTGCCCAACATCTACTTCACAAGTACAAGGTGGAGTGGGGCATTCACTTGAAAAGAGATCTTCAGGTTTCAGTGGACCGTAAGCTGAATATGATTTAACACATTGTTAGTGGAGGTCAGGACTTACTACCTCGGTTTCCCGTTTTGAAAAATGAAGAGGTCAGGCTAGATGACCTCCAGGGTCCTTCCCAGAAATCCTTGAGCATGTGATTCTAGTCTGCTCCTTCAGGAGGAAGCAAAGATCCAGAAATGGAAACTGATCTACCCTGGCCTTGAACCTGCCACCCAGGTTCCTTTGACTGGGTAGTAGAGGGATTGAATAAGTCATCATGCATTTGTTAGGTGAGGTGAATCCCTTCACTTCCAGACAGACACCACATACCATGCTCACACAGTCCTTGGACACCTGCATGTACCATCATCAGAAATGGAAAACTGCAAGGCTTTTCCTCATTATGCTCCACCTACATCCCTGTAAGGACTGATGATTCATGAGCAAAGTTACTTTTAAAAATAATTTTAACAAGGACCAGTCCAGAAAAATATCTTAATGAATAAATGAGCATTTATTAAGCACTTATTGTGTGCCAAGCACAGTGCTGGACACTGGCTATACAAATACAAAAAGCAGGACAGACCCTGCCCTCACGGAGTTTACATTCTAAAAGGGGAAGTCTACACACATGGAGAATGGTGACACATGATACGTTTCCTCCATGGCAAGTCTCATAAACTGGCTTCCAGTGGAGGGATTCTACCCTCAGAGGTCATGGGGAGAACAGATTTTTCCGGGAGTTTGTTGATATGTACACGAGCACACAAAAGAAGATTCAAGGAAGACCAAGGCACGATGGTCACAACTTGGTGTCTCTCATGGCTGAGGAGGAGAACATCTCCGTAAGAATTGGACTTGACCTCCCCTCCTTCCATCCAGAAAGGTGTTATGTTGAACTACCTCGAGGATCCAATGGAAAGCCCTTCACAACCTCAACCTCACCCCGACCTCTCCAGTCTCCTTATCCCTCACTCCCCAACATGTCCTCTTCCATCCTGTGACACCAACCTCCTGACTGTTTCACAAACACTTCCCATTCACAAACACAAATTCTGAGCATTCTCTCTGGCTGTCCCCCAGGCCTGGAACACTCTTCCCTCTCTGCTCTGACTACTGACCTCTCTGGCTTCCTGTAAGCCCCAACTAAAATCCCACCTCCTACAGGCAGCCCTCCCCAGCCCCTGCTAATTTCAGTTCCTCCTCTCTGTTAATTATTTCCTATTTGTCCCATAGAGAGCTTATTTGTTCATGGCTGTTTGCATTCTGTCTTCCCTATTAGACTGCGAGTACTTGAGCGCAAGGCTTTCTTTATATCCTCAGCACGTAGCATAGTGCCTGGCATGTAGTAGGTGCTTAATAGATACTACTGACTGACCCACTGACTGTCTGGACTTTGAATTCCTATTCCTGCATTTTTTGTCTCTGGATGATGTCCAGTTCGCTCAAGTTTCTCGGAAGAAAAATATCTATCCAAAAGTCATTATTCAGGTGAGTTTATAAGGCAAAAATGAGATTGAACTCTGCCTTGCCATCTAGGGTAGCACTGGCCCACTGGGTAAGGATGCACTGTTGACTGGCAACTTTCTCCTTGGGAAGAGAACCTCTAAGGTCACATTGATAGCAATGCCCATCTCTGCCTCCCTGTTCAACCCAGTTACAGTTTTATTCCAAGACACAACTTAGATTTTACTTTAATGAGATGAACAAATGTGTTGACAAAATTCCTTCCATCAAGCTGGAAAGAGATAAACCTTCAACCGACAAATGTTGCCCCAAACACCAAGTTCTATGGAATCAAGTATCATTGGAACCCTAACCGTGGGAGTGAGTGATTGGATAAATGAACGAAAACACATTTGTGAAGCACTATCTCTGTGCCAAGCACTGGGGGTACAAATACAAAGCAGAGACAGACAAGTCCCACAGGAGCCAGGGCTCCTTTAGCTTGGGTGGTTTTGCTTGCTAAGTTACAGGGATAGTGAGTCGAAACACGGGAATGATTTGAGGAAGACTCCAGAACTTGAAGGGGGGGGGGGCACAGGATATTAGCCCAGTAGAGACCACAGGGCTAGCAACAACGTGAGACATGACCGCAGCTCTCTGCTGTAGAGTGGAGCCTCCCAGGAGTGGCTCACCAAGTAGGATGGCAGGAGCCCCAGGAGGCACCCCGGAGCTGAGAGCAGAAATCCCCCTCACTGTGATCTCTGGTTGGGGCCAAGGCAGCTGGCCAGAAGGGAGCTGAATGCCCAGTGCCCAGATCTTCTCTGTAAAGTGCCACCCAATGGCACTGGGAATCCACCAACCAGAGGGGGACCCCAGACTGATTCTCACCCTTCTGTTAGCTCAGGTCCCTTTGGATTCTGATTAAGGACACCAGTAAGGACCAGGTGCCTCTTCAGCACATGAGGCAAGTGCCCCTGGGAGTGGAGGAGACAAAAGGCAATTAGGGTTAGGGTTATGTCAAACCATCTCCCCGATAAAAGCCTAGCATGAAGAGGTGGAAGGAGGGAAGCCTCCATCCCCAATGACTGCAAATATGGAAATTGTGAGAACCAAGCCCCCAGAGTGAACCCTGTGCAATTATAATGACCAAGCCAGGCCCAGAGGTGAGAAAATGAACTTTCCTCCCTCCTTCTGCGTGGAGGTGAGGGGCTATGAGTGTGGAATACTTTCTATTTCCAGCCTCAGCTGATGTGTCGGTTAAGCTTTTGTACTTCTTTGTTTCCTCTTTCTTTTTTACTCTTTGCTACAAGGGATGGCTCACTGAGTAGTGAAGGAAGAGTGAGATTTGGAAATAAAAATGTAGTTAAAAAATCAAAAGTAACAATAAAATCATGAATATCTCACAGTTTCTTTAAAGAAAATCCATCTGAAATATTGAGCAGTGGCCCTAACTACCAAGGACTCCAGACTCAAAGAGACTGGGACGGTCTGGGACAAAGAACTGGGTCTGTTGTCCTGCTGTCCTTTCTAGCTCCAGCCAGTGTCTCTGGAGACCTTGCAGGACAACAGTCCTCCCCTGCCCCACCTCCACCCTGGGGTGTGTGCCGGACCCCCTTCTCTGCCCCTGGCCTTTCTCCATTCATCCTCACTTACCACCAGCCAGGGCACTGGCTCTAGTCCCATCTCCACGGGGTCCCTGAGACAGCTGTGCCAGGGCATTTGTAAAAGGACCTCAGGTGGACCCAGAGGAGAAATCCTGATTTTAAAGAGAGATGCTGATGGTGACTTAAAGAAGATGCTGGTTTCTAAAGGGAATATCTGAGAACAGAAATGAGCCACTAGAGGAAGAAGGTGAAAGACTCTTCTTTAGGAGACCCCTCCCCTGGCCTCTGCTGTGGCGCCACCTCAGACTGCTGGCCTTCACAGGTATACCCCACCGTGGAAGGAAGCACTAGGCCTGCCTTCCTTTGCCCATGAGTTACTTCTTCAAGATGGCCTGGTCAGCGGGCCATCATCGCTGGCTTCTTCTCAGCAACAACACACCAATTGCCGTGGTCATTGATGGAACTCAGGACCCGAAGCTCTGGCACGTGCTGCTCCACCAAGCAGGAGAGTTCCCCTTCTCGAAACACATGGTAGTAACGGGTGAAAGCTTCAGAGTCCGGTGCCTCTGCTTGTGATGCCCCAGTGGACATGGCAGCTGCCAGGCTGATGAAGGGAGGGGGGAGGGAGCTCCTTTTCCAGAGCTGGCTGGTGGCCTGCTTTCCTGTCCCCCCAGGGCAGGCTGACCTGCATCTATGCTCCATTGTAGATTGGCTGAGAAAGCAGCCCCCTTGCTGCTGGTTCTGAGTGTCTTTGTGGGGCACTCTGGGTAGGGGCCTCGGCACCCCCGGGGCCAATCGCCACTCTGCGGTTTGTATGAGCCCAGGGGCAATGGCGTCATCTTGTTCTTTTGACAATGGCTCCTGATCACCAAGGTCTAAATGATGGAGCTTCGAAGGCTGGACAGACACGGGGTGACACGGGGCCCATTCCTCTGCTACGTACTCAGCCTCCTCCACGTGCTCCTTGAGAGTGCATTCATCCAAAGATCGGGAGAAAAACCAGGAGCGGAATGACTTCCCTAAAATGCTGTAGAAACCACTGTCCCCATCCCTCACCTCTGCCAGCTCCCTACAGCAGCCAGGAGTCCCAGAGCCATCGAGACTGTGGGACCACTGGGATTCCCGTCTCTTCGCAAGGTACATGGGGTAGCCACAGACAGAGCAGGCCAGGCGGTGGGGGGACCTGTCAGGGGTGGCTCTGGGCTGTCCACACACAGGCTTCCGTCCTGAGGGAGCTGGTTCTGCCAGGAGCTGGGAACACAGGGCGGGGTTCCAGGGAATCAACACATCCTGCTTGTCAAAGTGCCGGTGGTTCTTCTCCATGGCCCAAACATAGATCATGACTTGTCCTCCGGGGGCCAGCACCCGTGCCATTTCCTGGATGGCTCGGGTCCTCCTTTGTGCTGTTGAAAAATGGTGGATGACTGCAAAGGAAAAGAAAAGAACTCAGAGCTCAGGCAGCAGTCATGAGGGAGGCTGGCTGGCCTCTTCTCTGCAGGTCTCAAACCACAAAAAAAAACTGTAGAACCACCTGCATCCAACCTAGTCAATATGACCAGTATCATTAAAGGGAGTATGAGAGACAAGCCTGTCCAGGTCTAGCATAGAGCACAGCTCCCTAGAAAGAAGCCCTACCCACTCTACCATTGATGGACTTTCAGTATGGCCTTCATCAACGCCCTTCCCCTCTCTGAGCTTAAGCCTCTGCCTCTAGGAAACAAGGAGGCTGAAAAAACATACGCTGTTTGGGAAAGAACTTTTAATTGGCTGAGAAGTGCTAGGAAACTTGGAAGGTGGTTTGGCAGTAATTAGGTTTAAGCCAACAGCTTCCACCACATACCATCTACAGTCAAATAAATACATGGTCTAAATAGGAAAGAGAACACTGTCATAGTTATAGCTAGGGGATAGGGCCTGGACCTGCTGGATAGTCACTGAATAGCAAATTCTCTCTACCAATGCAGGTTGAGTTGTCTCAGGCCCAAGGAGGTGAAGAGATCTGCGCAAGGTCATAGAGCCAAGAACTAAACTCAGTTCCAAAGAACACAACACATCACTTTTTATAATACACACGTGCACTAAAAGAAGTACAAAATACTTTGTGAAATTTAGTGAAGGAGAAGTAACTGCTGAGACCAGTAATCTGGGAAGACTTCATGAAGGAGCCAGCATTTGAGTTGACTTTTTAAAAGATCTAGGAATTCAGTAGGTAAATGGGTAAGGAGGGAAAATCCAGGCATAGGGAACAGTGGGATCAAAGTCACAGAGGTGGGAAATTGCAACACATATTCATGGTTCAGAACATTCCGATTTGTGATTAAAGAAAAATAAAATAGAGAATATCGATTACAGGGAACTGGAGAGCTCTAACACAAACAAAATCAACACCCTAAGGATAAGAACAGAAGCTATCAATAGAGAAAAAAATCTTTGTATCAAATATCTCTGGTAAAAAATTTAATATATAAGACACATAGGGAACTAACACAAATATAAAAGACCAAGCACCATTCCCCCAATGGATAACTGGTCAAAGGCTATAAACAGACAGTCCTCAGAGAACTGTAGACTACTAACAACCATATGAAACAGCTCTCCAAATCACGAATAATAAGAGAAATACAAATCAAAACAACTCGGAATTTTTACCTCACATTCTGCAAATTGGCAAAGATGACAAAAGATGGAAACAGTCAATGTTAGAAGGGTTGTAGAAAAAGTTGGCACACTAATGCATTGCTGGTGGAGCTGTGAATTGATTCAACCATTCTTTTTTTTTTGTTTTGGTGAGGCAATCAGGGTTAAGTGACTTGCCCAGGGTCACACAACTAGTAAGTATCAAATGTCTGAGATCAGATTTGAACTCGGGTCCTCCTGACTCCAAGGCTGGAGCTCTATCTACTACACCACCTACCTGCCCCAATTTCCAACCATTCTTGAAAACAAAATTTGGAATTTCGCAAAGAAAGTTTCTAAAATGTCCATATCCTTGAGTGTGAAAATTCCATTCTTATGTGTATGCCCAAAGGAGGTCATTGATAAAAAAAGAAATGCTTCAGTACATAATAGTAGCAATATCGTATGATCATCAACTGTGAAAGACTTGGCTACTCTATCAAAACAACAATCCAAGACAATCCCAAAGAACCCATGGTGAAAAATGCTATCCACATCCAGAGGGAGAACTGATGAATTCTGAGTGCTGATTGAAGCATATATTTTCACTTTATTTTTTTGGGGGGGGAGCTTTTTTGCAACATGGCTAATATAGAAATATGTTTTGCAGTACTTTATATATATAACTGATATCTTACTGCTTGCCTTCTCAATGGGTTGGGAGAGGGGCTAGATGAAGGGGGAGAATTTGGAACTCAAAATTTTTAAAAGAATGTTTAAAAAAAAACTTAAATGCTCCTTATACACCAAAATATTTGCAGCAGCACTTTTTGTGGTAGCAAAGAATTGGGAAAAATAGATTGCCCTCAATTGGGGAATGGTTAAATGAACTGTGGTACTTGAATGTGATGGAATATTACTGTGCTGTGAGAAATGATGTATGGGATGGATACAGAGAAGCCTGGGAAGATCTACATGAACTGATACAAAGCATAGTTAAGTAAAGCCAGGAAAACAATATAGCCAGTGACAACAACAATGTGAACTGAATGACCAGAAATGACAACAGAAACAGAATCCTGGTAGAGCACCGGCCCTGAAGTCAGGGGAACCTGAGTTCAAATCCGGCCTCAGACCAAACACTTGACACTTACCAGCTGTGTGACCCTGGACAAGTCACTTAACCCCAATTGCCTTAAAAAAAAAAACCAAAAAAAAAAAAACCAGAATCCTGCTAAATTGTAACAAGAGAGTGAGATGTGGCCCCTCCCTTCTCTCCTCTGCAAAGGTGGAGGGTGGGGAGTATGGAATACCATATTTAACATCAGATCTTTCTGATATCTTGGTTAGCTTTGTTAAACTCTTCTTTTCTTCTTTATGTTAAGAGATGGTTCTCTGGGAGAGGAAGCAAGGATACAACAGAAAATGAAGGGGGTATAAAAACAAAGTATGTCAATAATTAAAAAAAAAAAGCATGTGAAAAACTGCTCCAAAGCTCTAAGAATAAGAGAAATACAAATTAAAGCATCTCTGGTTTCATCTCACACCCAGTAAACTGGCAAAGATGACAAAAGATGGAAACAGTCTGTGTTGGAGGGGCTGTACGAAGACAGAACATTAATACCCTACTGGTGGAGCTGCCTGTTGGCCACACATTATGAAGAGTGATGGAGAATTAAAGTAAAAGTGGTCTTAAGACGTTTATGCCCTTTGACTCAGAGATCACGATGTAAGACCTATACACCAAGGAGATCCAAGATGGAGAGAAGGGTCTTGTGCCCTCCTATAGATTCATAGACATACTTTTTTGTGATTGAAGAGAAATTAAAACAAATTACACGGCCACAGCTAGAGGAAGGGTCAAGAAACTGTGGCAGATAAGAGGACTGGGTTGAGAAATCATCAGAAATGACAAGTAGGAAGAATTCCAAAAAGCATAAGAAGGCAATGCAAAATGAGAAAGGATGACAGAAGCCCAAGCAGGAAAACTGTCCACTTAGAGCAACCACGGAAAGGGAAAGAAGGACAACACAACCTACAGATATCTGAGCTGGGCCCGGAGTGGGGAGGAGAGCATTTGCCTCAATCCCTTCCTTGCAGAGGAGGGGAGCAAGAGGTGTGAACCATGGCATACACTGTTAGACTCTGCTGATGTGCTGATTGGTCTTTCTCCTCTCTTGTTTATAAGGGAGGCTTGTTGGGCAGGAGAGGGGGAAGGATGTTTTCTGATACAAAGCTGACGTCAAGATCAAAGACAGCAATAAAAATAAAATAAGAAAGTCAGACAGATGATTGCTAAAGTTTGTTCAGGTCCAGAGTTCTAATTCTTGTCCACTTCGGGGTGGAAGATTAAGCAAGGTGAACTAATAGAGCCAGAATGATAGATTATTTCTAATGGTGCCATTTCATTAATTTCAAACACATCCAATAATAGTGGGAGCTAAGCTAGCTAAGTAGGCTGGTAGAACTCCTTGGGAGAAGTGCCTCGATGAAGAGGTCAGAATGACTTGTAATAAACAACTATATCATTGGATTCACAACTGAAAGGCCTCTGAAAGTCCATTCAACAACCAAAGGAAGAAATTAGAGCTGGGAGGAAATCCATTCAGCTGAGGTAACCCAGGAAGACTCCATGGAGGAGGTGGCCTCTGGACTAAATCTGGAAGGAAAGGAAAGATCCTGAAACATGCAGAAGAACCACAGCCTCTCAGGGTCCTTCCCTTGTTCCCAGGCTCAGCCCAGGCACCACCAATCAGGCACTGCCCTGATTCTCTCCCCTGCCCCCCCATGAAAGTGATGAGTGTTTCTTCCCTCCTCCAATTTCTCTACAGCCGTTTATTAGCATGCCTCATCTTCTGTAACAGTTAACTGTGCACATGTAGATAACCCCAAGGGCAGGGACTGTTTGATTTCTGCTTTGTATCCCCAACCCCTGGGGTGCAGTAAATGCTTCATATCCCACACAACTCATCTGCCATCCTCCAACACTTGCTATTCCATTCTCTGTTTCTGGTGAGGGCATCGCCACTCTCTCAGTCACCCAGGTTCACCACCCTGGACTCTCTTCACTCCTCTCTCTTTCCCCTTCCCTTCCTCTATCTTTCCCCTCCCCTCCAATCAGTTGCCAATTCTTGATTCTGCCAACCCCAATGTGTCTCATGTGCTCTCTCCCTCTGCCTCCTTCTGCCACGCAGACTACCCACATGCAGTCAAAAGGTTACTCTTGCAGGACAGCTTTAAAAACAACTCCAGAGGGGCAGCTAGGTGGTGCAGTGCAAAAAGCACCGGCCCTGGATTCAGGAGGACCTGAGTTCAAATCTGGCTTCAGACACATAACACTTACTAGCTGTGTTACCTTGGGAAAGTCACTTAACCCCATTGCCTAGCCAAAAAATAGAAAAAAGAAAAACAGCTCCAGGGACTCAGTCTCTCCTCAAGGGGAGACAAACTCCTCTGTTTGATCTGGAAAGCCCTCATCTCCAGGTTTCTGCTTCCCTCCCCAGGCTCATTATTCGGGTCTCTCCTTCATACAGTCTACCTCTCAGGCAGCCTGGATGATCTGATGTTTCCTGTCTCTGAGCATTTGAGTAGCCAGCCCCCCACGCCAGAAATGCCTTACCTCTCCACCTCCACCTCCTAGAATCCCTAGCACCCTTCAGGGCTCACCTTCCACTGTGATCTTAAGCCAGTGAAAACTGTTGCTTTCTACTGACCTTGCTTATCTAGGTACATATATATGTGTACATATATGTGTATTGAAAAGTGTGTGTGCGTACAAGAGTGTATTTATGTGTGTGCTTATTTTTACAACCATGTGTCATTTCCTCCGAATATAATGTAAGCTCCCTGAGGGAAGGGCCTGTTATTCTCAGTGCCTAGCATAGAATCTAGCACATGCATATAGTAGGTAATTAATTAATGCTTATTGAATGAATGAATGAATGAACGAATGGAATGTGTAGACTATTATTTATCATTTATTAATATGGTCTGAAGCTAACTTTATGTCACAAGAGATTGTCTGAACACAGAATGTCGCCCTGACTTCAGTAACTCTCCAGGAATGACAAAGGTGGCTACAAGGACCCCCAAGACCCAGAATGTTTGGGTCCTTTTACCCAGGTCTTGCTCTGGGTCCTAAGACTGAGCAGTGGGTTCCCTTGTGTTTGAGCTTGGCCCAGATTGGGTTCAGTGTTGACACTGCTCACATCTATCTCCATCTTTCTTGTTTTCAGGCCGCCCTCTTGGCAAAGTTACTCAATTCCATAAGCATGACCTGTGCCTTGTCTAAACCCTATGTAATGTCAGCCTTCCAGAGCCTGGACGCCAGGCAGCCACACCTCCTCTCCGGGGGGCTCGCTCTCCTCTACCAAGAAACTTAATCAATTTCTTTCTAAAATGATTTCAGATTGGGGGGGTGTTCTTGCAAAAATGAGCAGAGGGGGCACCATGGCACCGGCATGGCTCATACAAGCATCAGCCAAAAGGCAGAATCCTGAGGGTGAGTGTGAGCGGTGCAGCCAGTCTGACTGGAGTATAGAACACACAAAGGGAGGTGCTGGGCATCCCGGCTGGAAAGGTGGGAGGAAGCCAGACAGTGGCGGAGGCTTTAATTACCAGGCTGATGAGGCTGTATTTCATTCTGGAGGAAAAGGGGAGCTATGGACATTTCTGGAGCAGGGGAGTCGCATGCCATGGTCAGACCTGTGCTGTAGGAAGATTATGTTGGCGGCTGTGTGGAGGATGGATCGGACACAGGGCAGGGAGGCTGATAAGGAGGCTACCATAGTCCTAGTCCGGGTGTGAGGTGGGGAGGGCACTAACAAAGGAGTGAGAGAACTAGGAGGAATAATTAAGAGAAATAATTAAGAGAAAGAGCTCTCCCAAGGCATTGGGGACTGGATTGGCGGAGGCCGGGGCGGGTAGAGTGATTCCTCTCCCTGGGGTTCTGCAGACAAAACAAGCCGCATGGACGAGGACTCCTGGCTTCAGCTGGACTCGATGTCCCTCAGGGCCTTCCCCCTCTACCTGCTGGGTTCCTGAGGTGGAGCCAGTGAGTGCAGCTCTCCCTGCCTGGCTGACCTGCCTGGGCCTCCCAGAGAGGGTGGACGCGATGGCCCCGTGAGGTCCCATCTGGCTCTACATTCTGAGAAGGAAGAAAGGGATGAAGAGAGGGACAGAGCGAGGAAGCGAGAGAAGGTGGCCCTTCCTAGGGGAAGTCAGCAACGGGGAGTAGCACGATAGAAAGACCCCCAGCTGTGGAGTCGGAGTAGCTCTGGCGCTTACTTGGTCATTTCTCTCCCTGAGCCTCAGTTTCCTCCCCTGTTGGGCTGGCTGCCCTCTGAGGTCCCTTCTGTGACTCTCCTGCACATCTGCCTGAGGCTGTTTTCAGTGCCGGAAGCCTCCCTCCAGATCCTCCAGGGCTAGCTGAGACCTGTCAGATATTTATCTTCTATTTTATTTTTTCCAAGGACACAAGCCACGAGGAATTCTCTCTGGATGTCTCTGGGTGTCAGATGCTAAGTTAGCTAACTGACCTCCCGAGGGGTTCGGGATCTGGCAGGAGGAAGGGGGTCCATTCCCCTCCCTTCCTCACCCCCTATGGAGATGATGGCGTCAAAGCTGCGGTCTCGGAAGGGCAGGCGCAGGTTGTCACACACCAGGACCTCGCATCCCCTGCTGTGGGCGATGTCCACCAGTGGCCCACAATAGTCACAGCCCAGCTTGTACACCTGGCTGTTGACTCGGAGATACTTCCCAGTCCCACAACCTGTGAAAGACAAGACAACACTGGTTAAGAAGGATGTCTCAGGGGGTGCCTGAGGGTGTGGGAGAATAACAGTGGGGCTCCACAGACTCCTAGGCCAGGAGGAAATCAGGAGGCATCATCTGATCCAAGGGGTCCCTCCCTTCAAGGAATCAATGAGTTATGGTACAAAATAATATTTGGTGGCAGTGCCCAGGAGAGGTCTCAGAGGCAGTGCGGCCTAGTAGAGGGAGCTGGGCTCAAGTCCAATCTTGGACTCCTCCTGGCTGAGGGACCCCGGGCAAGTCCTATTCTCCTTAGAGAGCTCCAGCAGCAGAGAAGGTGCCAATGTGTGCCAGCAGAAGGGCTTTCCTCACCTGGCAATGCCAGTGAAATGGACCAGGGTATGGGGAGGGTGAGAATCAGACAAGGGAAGCAGGGGGGCATAGTCACTGTAGAAACAGAAAAGTGTTAGGGAAGGGAGTGGGCAGGAACTATGAGGGCATGGGTGGGGGGATGGGGGGACAGGGGGACTCTGGTTTGGCTGGAAGGGAAGCAGCTGTGTCACTCAGTGAACAGGCATGGATTGAGCACTTGCTATGTGCCAGGCACTGTGATCAATGCTGAGGATACAAAAAAGGCCCCCTAACCCCTCCAAAACCCCCCAGGGACCCTGCCTTCAGGGAGCTGCCATTCTAAGGGGTGAGATAACTCTGCATATACAGGATATATACAGAGTAGGTGGACAGGCATCTCAAGAGTAGGGGAGGGGAGTGGGGGGGCAGGAAAGACTTCTGGCAGAAGGTAGGCTTTGAGTTAAGACTTGAAGAAAGCCATCGAGGTCCCAGTGAGGGGGCAGGGGAGTAAGGGGGGAGAAGATGCAGAGTCAAGAAGACTTGCCTTCAAACCCAGCCTCAGAAGCTTGTTAGCCATGTGACCATGGCAAGTCACAGCACGTCTGCTGCCTCAGTTTCCTCATCTGTAAAATGAGGATAATGATAGCATCTACCTCTGGTTGTTGTGAGGACCAAATGCATTAATGTACATAAAACATTGCAAACCTTTAAATGCTATCAAAATCCTAGCTATTATTGTTGTTATTCAGTCATTTCCGTCTTATCTGACTCTCCATGATCCCATTTGGGGTTGTCTTGACAAAGATACTGGAGGGGTTTGCCATTTCCTTCTCCAGTTCATTTTATAGATGAGGAAACTGAGGCAAAATGGTTAAGTGACTTGCCCAGGGTCACACAGCCAGTAAGTGCCTGAGGCCAGATTTAAACTCAGGAAGAGTCTTCCTGACTCCAAGCCTGGAGCCCTATGCACTATGGCACCACTAGCCCCTCATCATTATTATTATCATCATTACTGCTAAAAGCCAGGGGACCTGGAAACCCGGTTTTGATGATGCAACACACATACCTGGTGCTGTCTGCAGTCAGCCTGGTTTCTTGGTAGAAAAAGCATTTCACTTGGGGGTTGGGAAGACCTGGGTTCAAATTTCCACTCTTCCATTTAATAGCTGTGCACCCCTGAACACCCCCACTCAGCCTCTCTAGACAATTCTGCTCCTCGGAGCTCAGAGGACCCTGGGCCTGACTGGGCAGCTGGGGAGAGACTGGCCTTGAACCTAAAAGTCTAACCGGCCTCCTTCCCTTGCATTAAGTGGCCACACAACCCGCGTGACCTGGAAGAGGCAAACAGCTCCCTTCACAGCAGAGGAGGCTTTCTGTGGAATGCAGACCAGGAGAAGCAGTCTTGTTCCTGTAAGGATGATGACTCGGTGCCCCTCCTCGCCATCGATAAACCATGGCGGCCCAGAGGTGCCCCCACATGTTTCAAGAGGTCCTTCGATGCTTCAGGGGGATGGGGAAGCCCCTGGGTTCTCCAAGGGTCTGTCCCCTAAGCATGAGGCCCAGCTTGGAGGTTAGCCTGATAATAGGAGAGGCTGCTAACCATGGGGGAGATACAGAACCTCTGCTAGTCACAGTGAATGAATGAATGAATGAATGAATGAATGAATGAATGAATGAATGAGTATGGACAAGGGCTTCCTTGTATATGCAAAGCTCTGGGCTGGCACCAAGCCCCTGCCCATCTGCTCAGTTCCTAGGCCATTTTAGAGGCATTTCAGGGAGGTTCAGCCGCCCTCTCCAACACGCCCATCCCTTTTCTGCACCTCACTCTCTGCCTTGAATTACATATAGGTTGGCTGCCACACAGAGATCACAAGGTTCGCTATTGTTAGGAGCCCAGGTGGCAGAGGAGCTAAAAGGAGGACCAAGAGAAACCACTATGTCCTGGGAGGCAGGAGGCTGGTGCCTTTCCTGGGAACAGCAAGGAAGGAGAGGGTGCCCACCATCTTGGAGGGCCAGAGATGGGCCTGGGAGCAGGGATGGGGGGTCAGGAATGCGGGCTCATTGGGAAGTTTTTAAAGAGGGAGAGTGGAGGTAGGCAAGGGATGGGCTGGTTTCCTTAGGATGGGGGAGAGGGAAGTGTGGGGGTCAGACTGGAGCTGGAAGAAGCCTCACTGTGTGTGTGCATGGGGGAGGGGGGAAAGAGAGAGAGGGACAGAGACAAAGAGAGTGAGAATGTCTATCTTGGTGGGAGAGCCAGTGCCAGGAGGGAGCTGGGAGGAAAGGCCCGATGGTCCAGCTCCTCGTCCATTCTGCTCAGGGACAGGAGCCATGTGCCCATTGCCTCCGCTAATAGGGTCATAGACTTGGATATCTCACGGAGTGAACCTTTCTCTAATGCCGGGAACCTCACCAAGTGGAAGTGGACACCCTCTTCTGTGGCGTGCTTCGGAGAAGGACTTCCCGAGCTGAGCACTCCCCTAAACTAAAGCAGTCTGCATCCCCGGGGGCTTCACCTTCCCTCAGGCCTTCAGTAAACACCGGCTGATCCCTGTTGAGTGTGGGCCAAGACCCAGCTCCCAGCCAACTCTGCCAGCCCCCATCACCTGGGGAGATGCGTGCTTACCTATGTCTGCAACGAGGCTGCCAGGTTTCTGCTCCAAGAGGAACTGGCGGACGCGTGGCCAGGCTTTGCCTTGAAGGTCACTGAAGTAGGCGGCTGTGCTTTCGTAGACCTCGTGCACGTGCCGTCTTTCCAGCTGGGCAGCAGCCTTGGGCTCCATCCTTGGGGAGAGATGCAGGGTCTAAGAGGCTTTACAGGCCACTCTGAGAGAGGCCCCAGGGCTTCTGGGCTTCCCTGCATTGCCTCTGAAGCCCATTGTTAAATGTTCGATGAGCGATGCTACCTCACCAGTGCTATCAATCAGGCCTTGTTTTGTTGATTTCTAGACTCGAGCAACTGCAGAAAATGTCACACTAGTATGAATTAAAATGAAAAGCGGGCTGTGTGCGCTTTTGTTTTTGGACAGCCGGTTGTTAAACATTTACCAGTACACCCCTGCCTGGAATCCATCACATCCCATAAACAGGCATTTCCAAAAGGGGAGTTATTCTTCAGGGGCTTGGAGGGTGTGTATAGCTCATTCTCATAAGCTTCCATCTTGTCCTCAAAGATAACGTCATTGATGGCAGCTCGCCACAGAGGCATCCAGAAGAGAATCCACTAGTCTTGCAGCCAGAATCCTGGGTTCAAGACTGGGCTTCTCCACTCTAACCCTAACCCAGGGCCCCATGCCTCCATTTTCTCATCTGCAAAATGGGAGCAATGATGATTGCAACCACCTGCCTGGCAGCACTGCTATTTGAGACAACAGGCTCCAGAAATAGGAAGAAGCATCCATGCTGATGTGGGTAGAACCATCATATGGGGCCCAGAAGGGCTGAGTCCGGGCACAGGAGCAGTGCAGGACTCACAGGGGCTTGGGGAGGTCCTCCTGATCCAGGGAAGGGCCATCTCTGTGGTCCCCAAGCCCGGTGGGTGGTGGGCTTCCTGCCCTCTCCAGCGCTTCTCCTCCCCACAACATTCTGACTCCTCACAGCCCCCCAACTTGCAGCCCCTCCTAGGCCCACCCTTCTTGCGGCTGCCCGAGCTTCGTCCTTACCCCCCCCCCAATCTTCTCCACCATCTTCACTGGCTCCCTAGTGCTTAAGAGAAGAACAGAGTCAGGGCTTCAGTGGTCTTACTTCTGAGGTCATATAGTCCAACCTCCTCCCACCCATTTAACAGAGAACACAAGCTAAGCCCAGAGGAGCCAAAAGTCACGTGGGGAGTAAACGGCAGAGCTGGGATTTGAACCCAGGGTCTCTTACTCCACATCTCCCCTTTTTCTCATTGCACATCACATGCTAAGCCAAGTGCAGGCACCAGAATATTTTCAGGATCCTATCCTATGACTCATGCTTCAGGCACAGGGAGTCCTCTCTGGTCTCCCAAGCCCCATGCTCTCCCTGTGTCCTGGTCACCCACCTTCCGGGCTTCATGCCCAGAGCCCTTTCAATGCCTGTGCTAGCCCAGGATCCTGGCCACTCCCCTCCAACCTCTGAGCCAGCCCTGCTCTGTCCTCTGCCCAGGGCCTTCCCCAGAGGCCACACACAGGACCAACCCTCCCCCCAAGCCTCAACTTCTTCAGCCAGCCCACCTCCCATCAGCCCCTCCTGCTTCCTGCCCTTACTCTCCCAGGCTCTCACTCTGGCCTCTGGGGCCTCCAAGAACTGCCTCACCACTAGCCCTGAGTCTGGCCCTTGAGGGAAAGCTCCGAACTGCCTAATTGCCTGCCTCCCTCAGAGGGTCACAGATAATCTGCCGGGGCTCATCTCTTAAGGGTTAGCTTACTCCTATCCTGCTATTCCCTCCCCATCCCTGGGGTTCATAACCCCAGCTGTCATCATTCAAACCCAGTTCTCTGTGCCATGGCCTGATCCCTTATTCCTTCAGCCTTCCCTGGCCCCTCCCACTGTGCTGGGCAATGCCCGCTCCCTGGGTGACCTCCTGACTTCCATCTTCTCCACTCCATCCTCTGGCTCACTGAGGCCTGGCTCCCCCCTTAGCTCTTCCTCATCCTCCCCACAATGATACAGCCTCCCTGGCCACCTCTTCCAGCACTAACTGCCCCTTCACTTATTCTCCTGACTCAGTGGGCCAAGTGGGTGAGTGGGGATACGGTTGGCTCCCCACTGCCACGTGTAGGCTCTCCCTCTACCCCCATCAACACACTCACTCCACTTTTACCACCCAATCCACTACAGCTGTCCATCAGCTCCCAGACAGTCCTCCCCTTCCCTGCATGAACTTGGTGCCAGGCTCCTGGCGGCTCTCCTCCCCACTACTGCCCTCCCATTAAGGAGACTTCAACATCCATGTTGTCAGTGCCTCAACCTACCCTCCTTACATGAGCTCCTCCTCCACCACCCCCCCCAGCATAGGAGGCCTTGCTGGATCGCTTCTGTGAATTATAGAATGTCCCATATAAAATACTCATAATTAGTTTTACAATGTCATGTTTGGAGTTTTCATAATGATAGGCAGAAGAATATACTTTATAATAACATAATGTACATTTTCATTGGGAGTTTTTGGGGGGCAAAAGTGATCAAATGAGTCAATCTAAAAGAATATTATGAGTAGTATATTAGATTACTCTGAGCAGTTCACAATACATTTTTTCATTTTTGTTGAAAGGGATCCATGGGACAAAACAGCTGGGGACCACTCATGTTCTAGTTTGATGATTTCATCAGCTGCCCTGGATTCACTCTTCATCTCTACGTTGATGATTCTCAGATCCACAGATCTAACCCTAACCCTTTCCTTCTGCACCGGCCCATCCCCCCCTCTCCACAGGTAGCCCTCCCTCACTCCTCCATTTGTGGGGCCACACTCTCTGGGACCACCCCAAGGGTTTGAAATGGCTGCTTCTCTTCCCTGACTCAGGAAGGCTACCTGAGTTCATGCCAACAGCCCCCAGCCCCCTCTTCTGCTCAGGCTATCTGACCAGGCCTGAGAGCTGACTCAGTCCTGGGGGGTCTGTGGTCTGCTATTCAGGCCAGGCCCAAACTTGCACTAGCTGGTCCTGCAGCCCTGGGGGGGGGGGAGCAGACAGATTTCTTAGCCAGCAATGCCAGGAGCTCATCCTGCTTAATCGATGAGCTGTGACAGATCTCTCGCCCACATCCCAACAGCTTGCATCTCACCCCAACCAGTCACCACACACACATATGCCCAGCTTCAGCTGCCCACGCCTTCAAAGCACAGAGTTTTTTCTATCCAGAGTTGGGAGGGGAGCCCTCAGGTACAGTCACCAGTGTCCACATGGACTCAGTCAGCATGTAGTAAGCACCTACTAAGTGCTGGGGAGACAAAGAAAGGCAATTAGCCCACAGAACGATAGCACGTGCACAGGCACACACACACACACACATACTATGCACACGTGCACACATATACACATCCATACACATGCATACACGTGTGCACACGTACACATGCATACGTACATGCACATGCATACACATGCATACGCACGCGCGTGCACACACGCAGATCACTGAGTCCTACTGGCCAGTGAACTGGGGCTCCCTGGGCCCCAAATGCATTTCTCTACATTTATACCCACTAAAGGGACATCTCCAGCTTCAAAATCAGGCTCTTCACAGCTTGTGAGACTGCCCCATCAGAGAAGCAGCCCCAGGCACAGAGAAAGGCCACGGTCCCCAAGGCTGTGGCCGGCAGCCTGGTGTGCTCAGTACTGGCTCTGGAGGCAGGGTCACAGCTTTCCCTCTGTCACAAGGGTGAGCAGTGAGACAGCCAGGCCTCTGCACCCCCCTCCTCCATTCTTGGAGAAACAGCTCCGGATTATTTCCATGCCTCAGCTCAGAGGCCCTGGAGGACAGAAGCGTGCCTCTGATCCCCACCCTAGACTGTGAGGGCTCTCCTGCCTTCCCAAAGTGAAGTTCTCTGAGAGCTGTGGCCTCGGGGTGGGGGGGGGCAGGCAGCATGGCGACCACAGCCGTCCCCAAGCTTGCTCCTTCCCTGCTCCATGGAAATTCGGAATGTCACTGTGTGCTTCAGGTGTTCCAAGAGTCCGCAGGTGACAGCCACTCTCCAGGATGCCCTCAAGGCTTCATCAGAGCCTAAGGGCATGAACATTCCAGGCCAGGGATGGACCAGAGCAGGGATGTCCACCCTTTCTTCTCTATCTATATTGATAAAATTTGCGTGTGCTGACACACATAAATAGGGTTCCCCCCTCACCGAATGGTGCTCATCTGGGAAGATGAGCTGGTCTTTCAGTGGCCCGGCCCACAAGAACCCCAACCCCCGACTCCTGCACCACAGAGAGAACAACGGCCCACAGGGAGGAGAGCACCCTTCGCACGCAGCATCAGGGCCCCAGACTCCGGAGGTGATGAAGGCAGACGGTGAAGGCCCGTGCATGTTCATATGGTGCGGGTCAGGTTCATGCAGTCAGAAGTAACCTGAGCCTGCGACAAAAAGAGGGAGCCCCCCCCAACCCCAGTCGGCCAGGGCTGCTGAGGGTGGCCCTTTCCTCATTCAGGCCAGTCAGTACGGACACAGTCGTCATCACTGGGTGTTTGCTAGGAGCCGATGTGTTAGAGGGGGGCCCGAGACGAAAGGCCCTCTATGATAAATGAGAGGCCAGTGTTCTGAGTAACGGGGAGTTACCACAGGGGTTCTAATCTACAGGCTTTCCCTGCCACCCCTGGGCAGAGGGAGGAGAGAGCCCTAATTTGTAGCTGATTAAAGAGGGTAATTAGATAGGTGGATCAGGCAGCTTCCTGAGGCTGGCACTAAGCCTGCTGTTGCAAGTTCATGGATAAACTAAGATCCAAGTCTCCAGTAGGTGGATGAAGGCAGAGGTGCAGGGTGGGCAGGGTGCCATTCTTAGAGAGGCCACCAGGGGGCAGCACGAGCTGCTCAAGCCAAACCCAAGTCCCTTGTCATTTACAAATGAGGAAACTGAGGCTCAGAGAGGGGATGAGACTAGTTAGGGTCACATAAGGTGCAAGAGACCAAATGGAAACAGGAGGCAAGACTTCTGACTCTAAATCCTGGGCTCTGGTTCTTTGTGGAGGGATGCACGTCCAGGGCTCTGCAAACCTCGAGGGGTCTCCAAGCTCCACCACTGCGGCCCCAGCTGGAGAAGCTGAGTTCCCCATGCAGGACGCTCCCTCTCAAGGCCGGCCAGGTCACCTGGAGGTGCTTACAGGCCGCTGCACAAGGGACACGCTCCGGGGGCTCCCTGCTCATCCCCAGAGTTCAAGGTCTCCCTGATCATCCCCACTACTGGGGCCGAAGTCACACAGAAGCAGGGATGAGCAGGGATGAGCAGGGTATTCCTGGGGACCAGGCAACTGCTTCTTGGCTTCAGCTCTCACTGGGCCACAGTAGGAGACCAGTGTTTCTGTTTCTGCCATCCTGGGTGGACAAGGGGCTTCTGCCACCAAACCCTCGAGGGATAGCATCCTCAGCCCTGGGACACGCGAGACCCTGATGGGCGGGAGATGGGGGAGCACAGAGAAGTGCAGAGCTCCCTCCCTCTCTTTTGTGAGCACGGAAGAAGGCTACTCATAGCTTTGGGAGGAAAGGGGCTGTGAGGAAGAGCGAGCCTGGAGCTGAAGGGGGAGGTAAAGTAGGAAGGATGTCCTGGTGCTCCAGAGTCAAGAAGAAAGCCAGACATTGACCTGGTGGAGGAGAAATGTGAGAGGACAGATAGAGTGGAGGTGGGGGAAAGTTGGTTGGTAAGACCGCTTGAGTGATGAGCAGGACACGGGAAAGGATGGGAGGGGGAGGGGTCACACCTGTGAGATATTAACAAGTTAAGACAATGACCAGCCTCCAGAGTTCAAGCCCCCCCCCCCATCAGGTGCCACCAAAGGTGCCCAGGGGAGGACGGGCAAGAATCCCAACGAAACACAGGTGCAGCAAGCCAGCATTTTAAGGGCCCCCTCTGTGCCAGACCCTCCACTGGGCCAGGGATCAGAAAGACAACAGAAGGCCCTACTGTCCAGAGTCAATGCTCTGTCAAGTGACACATCCACATGCACACAGGCAAAGCCCAGCCTCTCCTCAGCAAGCATGGAGAAATCCCACAGGGCAGGAAGGGCACACATGCCAGCCCCAGCAGCAGCACACCACTGTGCCCACTGGCTCTGCTCAGAACACAGGCTGGCTCTCTGCTAGCTGGAAGGCAGTGTACCCGGTGCAGGGAGAGAGGACAGACTTCCCGTGAAGGTGGCGGTGACCTGAAGGAAGGTCAGAGAGGAGCCCAGCCTCTTGCCATCCCCCACGTTGACCAGCCAAGATCTAAAAGGGGCATCAAATCTAAAAGAAAAGACAGGAAGCTCCAGCAGCCAGCCCAGGAGGGCACAATGTCAGCTCAAAGCCAACAGACACAGGGAGAAGGGTTGCTGAAGGAAAGCTGGAGCCCAGAACTGGGCTGGAGGACGCACAAGGGGCCACAAGCCCAGGGTGGGCAGAACACAGGCGGGGGAAGTGGAAGCCAATGGCAGCAGTCCCAGAAATCAGAAGCGAGATGACACAGGGCCTCAGCATCCTGTCCAAGGGCACTGGAGAGAGGAGTAAAGAGAAACCTGAATACGATGAAGAAATCTGGCTTAAGAGATAAGCTCACGTATAGATGAAACTACTGTGACCACAAGCAATTTCATCCTAAGTGTCTCTCCATGGGTCCATGAGGCAGAGCTTCAAATGTCCTTCTAAATGCCACCTAAAAAGTCTCAGGCTGTTCCTTCAGCAGAGATGTTCTGGCTACCCCAAAAATGGCGTCTGGGGGTTGTGGAGGTGGGCCCCAGGCCAGGCCTCGGCCAAGCAGCTGTGGTCCTCGACACCACCATCACTGGCCGATACCAGAAATGGCACAAAGTCATCTGCCCGGAATAGGCCAATGTTTGCTTGAGGGGACAGCTCTTAATGACAAGGGAGCACATTCACATTGTCTCTCCAGGCCGAAAGGCCACAACTTCCTCTCTGCTCTCCCAGCAGCTTGTTAGGAGATGGGAGGAGCAGAGCCTGGGGTTTCTGGTCTGGGTCATCCTGCATGCAGCCATGCCTCCAGCAGGCCTTTAGACCACTTTCTTTCTCTTGGTGCTTTATTTTTCTCCTTCAGTGCTGTCCAAGTCAGACTTCTTAAGAGCCATAGGTCAGGGAGGACCAGAAACAGCCCTATAGTCATTTAAATGGTGGAAGGTGCCTTAGAAGACCCTGAGACCTCCCTGGCTCAGCACTGACCTCCCTGCCTGGTCACTGAATGAATCAGACCCTCAGAAGAGCTTCAGACTGACTTGTTGGTTTGGCTGGTGGACCATGAGGGGCAGCCTGGAGGCAGGGGAGCTCTGCTCAGCTCAGTCAGCTCTTGGCATCCTTGAACGCCTGTCCTTGTTGAATACAGAGGCAGTGGAAAGCACCCTGGGTCGAGTTAGGAAGACCTATGACATGTGACTGCTGCTGGCCTCAGTTTCCTCACCCTTCAAATGGGGATCACATCAGCACCTGCCTCTCAGGGTTGTGGTGAGTATCCAAGGAGATGATTGAGGTAAACAAAGTGCTGTTGTTATCCCAAGCAAAAGAAAGATGACCATGTTGGGGCGTTGAGGCACAAATAAGCTGGCCTGGGCAGCTGCTGGGTTCTCTCCTCACTCAGGCTCTGGGCTTCCATGAGCCCCTCAGCCAGCTGCTGACCAGGCTTGTGGCTACAGGTCCCATCTGGAGGGGCAGCCGCAGAGTTACTGAATTTGGAGGTGGAGGAGGCCCCCAGGTGGGCCCAGACTGCGGGCCTCACAGAGAAGGCAGCTGGGAAGCTCAGGATATGTGCGCCTTGGGGATTCTGAGCCAAAATTTGGAGAGAGGACACTGGTGTCCGTGTGCCCTGGTGTGGATGCTCCTCACCGCCCCACCCTCCAGAGGACAGTGGCCGAGGGGCTGGCTCTGACTCTCTGGGCTGGCTCTCCCACATCCTCCACTTCCACTGGCCCAGCTCCGGGGGACTTCAGGCATTACAAGATAGCCCACCATGCATGGTGCTGTTTGTTTTACATTCTACTGTTGGATTAAGGGATGAAAATTACAGTCCACTATATAACTACTGGGCAGCCAGGTGGCACAGTGCACACAGAGGTGGGCCTGGAGTCACTTCCTAGATATGTGACCCTGGGCAAGTCATTTCACCCTGTTTGCCTCAGTTTCCCCATCTGTCAAATGAGTTGGAGAAGGAAATGACAAACCACTCCACTATCTTTGCTAAGAAAAACCCAAATGGGTTCATGGAGAGTTGGACATGACTAAACAACAAATCCAGATATAGCTCTTCCACACAACACTGCCTTGGCCCATCTCCAGCCTTTCCCCTGGCCACACCCATGCCTGGAATGCTTACCCTCCTCACCTCTGGCTCACAAGATCTTCCTTCAGAACACAGCACAGGTGCCATGTCCTCCTTGAAGCCCCCCTGATCCCACCAGCTGCTTGCTCCCTCCCTCCTGGACTTGGCAGCCTAGTGGAGTCGGAGCTGCCACCCTTTGGGGAGCACTCAGCCAGGCAGGGATGGCGGGCTGGACGGCGGGGCATTAAGTGACAGTCCTCACGGCACAGCCGTCAGCCACGCTGGCTGCAATGGGAAGCCTCCTACTGGCCAGGCTCTGGCACGGTCCCCACACCTTAGGCTTTTGCCTGGAAGCTTAACATACCCCTCCCCCTGTGCCAGACTTCCCTCTCCCCCCACCCCAGCCCCCCAAACAGAAAAGGGGGGTGGCGGGTCTTTGCCCTCCAGAGCTTCTGTTCTCATAGTGGGAAGGGGAGGAGATAATGATAATAGAGGTGAGAAGAGACTAATGACAACTGACATCCTTAGAGCAAATGAAGGATTACAAAGCACTTTAGAAGCATGTGCTCATTTGGTCGGTAGGTGCTATGATTATCACCATTTCACAGGTGGGGAAACCAAGGCAGGCAGCCAGGTTAAGCGACCTGCCCAGGGCTACACAGCTAATTAGCATCTGAGGCAGGAGGTGCACTTAGGTCTTCCCACTCTGGGTCCAGTGCCCTCTCCACTGCACCACCCAGCTGCCATCAGCTGGATGACAAATTTGAGAGCTAACTGGGCATTCCTTGAGCTAGACAGCATGGGAAGGAGAGGGGCAGGAGTGTGGGAGTCAGACTAGGAAGGGCACCCAAAAGCCGGCCAGTGATGGCAGGACTTAGTACTGGTGTGAAGCCGAAGGGAGTCATGGGAGGCTCTGGAGCTATGCTTTGAGAAGCCTCTCCTGACAGCTGTGTGCCAAACAGACTGCAGAGTAGAGAGCCGGCCTCAGGGAATAGAGGGGCCCCTGGTCCTCCACTGTCACTACCTGGCCCCCTGAAAGCTGGGTGGGGGCTCTGGGGCAGGGGCCAGCTTAGTCCGAACAAGGAAGCTCCCAGCTCAGTGCATCTGGGATCTCTGGGGGACACCAGCTCATCTGTGGCACGTGGTCCTTGAGAACATCTGTGACTGAAAAAATGCCTCCCCAGGGCCAGGATCTAAGGATAGTCCTGCCTGACCCTGACTAGCTGCTGCCCCTGGATCTGGGCCCAGAGTCCATCTATCCCCAAGCCTCCAGGCTCAGCCTTTCCTGCTCCCTGGGGCTGGCCTGAGCTAAGGCACCTGCTCTGTGCCACAAGAGGCTTGGATAGAGAAGGCCATCCACGGGAAGGACCCAGGAATAATCACTGTGGCTCCAGAGATCACTTGAAGGAACAGAGCAAGGTTGCATGTCCCACCATGCCTCGGGCCATCAGGTCATTCAGGGACAACCCAATTACCATTGGGATGAAGGCAGAAAAGATTCTTTTCTGTGAGGGTAAATACCCTGGGCAGAAAAGGTAAGAAAATCCTACTAATTGAGACTGAGTAGAGGAAAGCCGGCCTAAGGGCATGATATCCCTAAGGTACATCATATGTGTGCGAGCATGTTGTGTCCATGTGTGTGTGTCTATCTGTGTGTGTGTCTGGGATTAATCGAGGACTCTCAGAATGAGCCCACCCCAAAGCCACTCACCTGAGTCACTGAGAAGCAGGGGTCAAAGGCACAGCTAGCGCTGCAGGCACTTCCAGGGCACCCCCAGACCACCGGCTAGTTCCGGCTGTTGTCACACTATGGAATCTGTCTGGCAGCCTGACGGGATGGTCTCAGGAACCCGAGGTCTTCCCAGCACACAGTGGGACATGGGCAGTCTGAAGTGACAATAAATGGAAAACATCCCTTTGTCCAGGTGCACAGCCCATGTGTCCACAGCTCAGACTGGACGCAGCTAAAGCCTCCTGGAGGCTCTCCTCCCAATATGGGGCATTGGAGGTGTCCTCACCAAAAGCCCCTTAGCACCAGACAGACAGAGGCAGACAGCAGGACTAAGGAAGTGCCAATGCCCACCCCCCCCAGGCGAATAGAATGGAGTCAGCAAACAACAGACCTTGAACTTGACTTCCCTTTCCATCACAGTTCTAGAGCATCATGGCGGCCAGAAAGGAGCCGAGCACAGGGGGCTTTTCTCCTGCTATCTTCCATCCCAGTCCCATGATACTGTGTTCTATTCCAGATCAGGGTTTGAGGTAGGGCACTGAGGAGCATGTAGGGAAGAGAGCAGGGTGAGGGCCCTGCTTCAAGACCATGCAAGCCTGGGATCGAGCCTGGACAAAAGAAGACTCAGGAGGGAAGGGGAATAGGTCTTTGTTGTCTGCTACATACCAGGCACTGCCCTAAGCACCTCACAATGACCCTGGGAGGCAGGTGTCGTTATGATCCTCATCTTACAGAGGAGGAAACTGAGGCAGACAGAGGGTTAGGGTTAAGGAACTTGTCGAGGGCTACACAGGGAGTATCTCAGAAAGGATTTGAACTCAGGTCTTCCTGGCTCCAGGTCCAATCCCCTACTATGGACAAGGAATCAGACCTAGATTACAGACCATGGACTTAGAGCCAGGAAAGGCCACAGAAGCCACTGAGTCAGACCTCTTATTTTGCAAACTAACAAACTGAGAGATTCTGCCCAGGTTAACACTGCTCTAACTGTCTAGAGGCAGGATTCGAAACCAGACCTTGCTGATTCCAAGTGCAATGCTGCTTGGCCTCAGAGGGCTTATCTCCCGGCTCCTGGCCCACTGCCAGCCAACAGGGCCAGATGCCCTTCCCCAGATGCCTCCTCGACCCCAAGGTGTCCTGAGTTCTGATCTTAGGCCTCTGCCTCCCCTTCTCAAACTGTCTTTATTCTGTGGACACTTAGAATCGATATTCTCTTGTCTCGAGGGCTAAAATACAGTCCTTGAGACCAGGAGACCACAAAGGGAGGAGGGGGCAGGTGATGAAGGGCTTTGAATGCCAGAGCATTTTGTATTTGATCCTGGAAGTAATAGGGAGCCATTGGAGTTTATTGAGTGAGGTGTGTGTGTGTATGTGTGTGTGTGTGTGTGTGAGAGAGAGAGAGAGAGACAGAGAGACAGAGAGACAGGGAGAGAGAGAGACATGGTTAGACTGAAGCTTTAGGAAGATCATTGATGGCTGAATGGAGGATGGACTCGAGGCAGTCAGACCCCCCCCCCCCCCAGCAGCCACTGCAATAGTTGAGGGCAGGCTTACAGGAGAGAAGGGGGCATATTCAGAGATGCTGCAAAGGAAAAACCTACTTGGCCACAGTTTGGCTCTGGAGGGAGGGGGGTGAGAGGGAGGAGTCCAGCTGACTTCTGAGTTGTGAGCCTGAGGGACTGAGCTGATTGGGAGCACCTCCACAGTGACAGGGGCGGGGGTGGGGCAGTTCCAGGTGGAAAGACATTGACTTCTATTTTGGATATATCGACTTTAAAATGTCTGCTGGACATCCAGTTTAAGATGTTCAATAAGCAGCTGGAGATGGGAGACTGGAGCTCCAGGGGAAAAGTGACCTACGGTGACTTTAGGTAGAGAGTGGGTGATCAGGAAGAGGGTAAAACAGCCCCTAGCTGCCCTTGATAAGACTAGGTCCCCCAGCATGGGTGACCTATGTCCTAGAGTCCTAAAAGCCCTGTCAAATGGGATTGCAGAGCTGTGGTCAGAGACCCAAGGAAGACCGTAGAGAAGGGGAGAGGTGCCACAGGCCTGGGGAGGAGTAAATACAGGCCTAGTGCTTAAAAACAGAGAAGGAAATGGAATCTTCTCATTACAGGTCAGAGAACTTGGCATTGGCTTATGGCAAAAGTCTTAGAATTCATCATGAATGAGGCAGCTGGTGAACATGGGGACAGGAAAGCAGCGACTGCAAAGAGCCTGCCTGACTGCATCAAGCACAGGTCATGCTGGACTCCCCTCACTTCCTTTCAGGGCAGGGTTTTTAACTAGTAGACAAGGGGAAGGCTGTGGATAGAGGCTCTCTACATTGCTGGCAATGCTAATCTCATGAACCAGCTGGGCTTGGGGAGAGCACAGATAGGTACACTTGGAACTGCTTGAGTGGCTGGGCTAACCAAAGAGTTATCATTAGTACAATGTCAACTGGGAAGGTGTCTGGAGGAGGGCTCCAGGGACCCGTGCTTGACCCCATGCAGCCAGGTGCTGCCACAGTCAATACAGTGCTGGGAGTCAGGAAGACCTGAGTGCAAATCCAGCCTTTGAAACCATGTCATCCTAAGCACTTCCCTGAGACTCAGTTTCCTCAACTGCAAAATGGGATTGATAATAATAGCACCTATCCCACAGGGTGATAGCAAGGATCAAATGAGATCATATTTGTAAGATCTGTGCTTAGTACAATATCTGACAACCTAGCAGGGACTTTATAAACGCTTTCTCCCTCCTTCCTTCTCTCCCTCCTTCCTTCTCTCCCTCCTTCCTTCCCTCCCTCCTTCTTTCCTTCCCTCTTTCCTTCCTTTCCTCCCTCTCTTCTTCTTTCCTTCCCTCCCTTCTTTCCTTCCTTCCCTTCTTCTTTCCTTCCTTCCTTCCTTTGTTCCTTCCTTCCTTCCCTTCCTCTCCTTCCCTCTTTCCTTCCTTCCTTCCCTCCCTCCCTCCTTCCTTCCTCCCTCCTTTCCTTCCTTCTTTCCCTCCTTCTCCTTCCTTCCTTCCTTCTTTCCTTCCCTCTTTCCTTCCGCCCTCCCTCCCTTCCTTCTTTCCTACCCTCCTTTCCTCCCTCTCCTTCTTTCCTTTCCTCCTTCCTTCCTTCCTTTTTTCCTTCCTTCCCTCTGTCCCTTCCTTCCTTCCTTCCTTCCTTCCTTCTTTCCTTCCCTCCCTCTGTCCCTTTCTTCTTTCCCTCCCTCCCCCCTTCCTTCTCTCCTTCCTTTTTTCCCTCCCCAGCCTGACTACATCTGCAGCTCTGTGGTCAGTCCTGGGCTTTACGGTTTAAGAAGGACATTGATAAACCGGAGAGAGTGCAGGGGTGGTAACCATGATGAGGAAGGGCCCAGTGACCTGTGAGCTTAGGCTCAGTTGAGAAGAGTTAGGGAGCGCATGTGAGGTTTCCGCAGGTGTTCGAGGGGCTGGGACGTGGAAGAGGAAGCTTGTACTGCTCAGCCCTAGAGAGGCAGACTCAGCGACAGAGTCACATTTAGGCTGAAAGCATGGAAAACGTTCCTAGCAACAAGAGGATCCTGAAGAGGGATTAGCTGCCAATGGTGCTAGTGAGTGCCCCGTCTTGAGGGGTATCCAAGCACAGACTGGTTGAGTCCTTGCCTGCTCTGTTATGAAGGGTGGGTTTTTTTTTTTTTTTGGAGTGGAGAGGTGTGTGGAGTGGTTGGACTGAGTGGCCCCTGAGTCCCTTCCCAGCTCTGAAATTCTGTGAAGGCAAATGGCAGGGCAATGCCAGGACAAGGAGGCAAGGGGCCCCAGGACAAAGGGCAGCAGAGGCTCAAACTCACTAGTGATGGATTGAGATTTCCGAGGACGTTTGGACGGCACAGCCAGGGCTGTGGACTGGAGGAGCAGGGAGGGTCAGGCAACGGGGGTCACAATAAGGACGGAAGGGGGGACAGAGGCCGTTGGAGTCCTGCACCACGCACGGCCAAGAGCAAGGGCTGCTGAGGAGAGCAAGGGTCAGTGTGGTGCCACCAATGGCAAGCTGGCCTCGGCCAGCCTCTGGCACGGTGACGCTGTGACCCGGAGGACCCCCTGCGGTGCCCCATCTGGCCTGTGATCCTGTCCCTTGGGTGACTGCAGCAGAATGACGCTGAGATCATGGAAGCTTGGGCAGCTGCGGACCAGCAGGCCAGGGGATCTGGGGGCCATCGACATGCGTGCTTATGAGGGCAGGAGGCATGCTAGGCCGGAACCCCTTGAGCAACGATGACTGTGGGGAGAGCCCAGGGGAATGCAGGGGAAGGGAGTGAGCCTCAGAGGGCAGGCGGAAGATTAAGGGTAGCAATGGGAAGTGAGGGGGCACGAAAGGAGGCAGGTTTGCAATTGGAGGGCCGACAGAGTGATTGGTATGATCACAGTGCCTCAGAGCGGGGAGGGCCCTTTGAGACCACGGAGGTCAACCCACCCATTTTACAGATGGAGAGCCTGAGACCCAGAGCAGCCAGATGCCTGTCTCTGGACTCTCATTCTGTGTGTGCAGGTGGATAAAGGACCTCAGCTCCAGTTCCACCTGGCAGCATCCTAACCCTACTGTGTAATCTAGGCCACACTCAGCAGCCTCCTTCCATGCACCTCAAACAGTCCCTTCTAACCCAGGGGAGGCCCTAGGGCCAAGCAGGCACTGTTCCCAACTCAGCACACTCACCTTCTGGGGTCTGGGTCCAGAACTGTACCAGGCCCATCTCTGGACCTTGCAAACCCAGAATGCCAGTGTTCTCTAGCCACAGGCCTCTGGCTACTGCCATGGTGAAGTTAAACTACGGGAATAGTTAGCCAGTAAGCATGTAGTGTGTGCCAGGCACTGTGCCAAATGCTGGGTTACAAAAAAGGGCCAAAGCTACTCGCTGCCCTCACGGAGCTGCCAGTTTAACGGAGCAGACGCCCTGCAGACAAATCTGCACAAACTAGCCAGGACTGGACAGTCAAGAGGATGGCAAGGCTTCCTGCAGCAGGTGGGATTTCAGGTGGGACCTACCTGACCAGACTCCACCCTCATGACTCAGGACAGGCCATCTGGGCAGGCTTTCCAGAGGCTTCCCCACCTGCTGCCGTTCTGGGCCATTTTTTTTG